TATATATAGTTTCATTTAAAAAAAGAAAAGACTAATGAATTTACCAAAGGGGCACTGTAGTTTTTAGCTACTCAAAAATAGTAAATAGTGCATTTGTTGGGTTTTCAGTGGCGGATTAATCCACAATTGGTGAGTGAGGGAGGTGAGGTGAGAGTATTTGGGACACCGGGATGGTGTATGTGTGAAAATAAACCACAGTGTGTGTGTTCATGGTAATGAAGGAACATGTCAGTGCCAGTGCAACAGTGTGGCTGACTGATGTGTTTGTTTTTAGACAACTAAGGAGCTCAATGGCACAGAAGAATCAGATATATCAGGCTCTGATACACACACAGTACTTGTTAGCAGGATCAATGGATGGATGGTTTGGGTCTTTTTAAGGGATTTGTTATACAATATCAAAATATTTTTCTCTAAAAAGCAGTAAAATAAGCTCCATTACTCCATATTTGAGGAGTTTATCATCTCTAGCAATATTGCGCTTTACATTTTACACAACATATATAAGGCTGACCTAACTCTAGGCAGAATGAGCAGGACATACAAATCATACATATATCAATGAGTCATCTCACGCCTTACTTGAGCTCTTGCGCGTTGTTGGCCAGCATACTTCGAATGCTTTTATCAGCTAAAGGACAACCTGAGAGACTGAAAAATACATCAGTGGAACATTAGTTACACCAAAATGAAAAGTCACCCCAACCACTGTAACACAAAATAATCTCTCAGACCACACTCACACATACACACATAAACAAACACATGCATACATAAAACATCAACCAGGAAATGCAAAAAAGCCATGATGCAAGTGCAGGGAGTTGATTTAAATAAGTTAACCCTCTGAGTATTTTGTATTCATACGTAACAACAAGGATGTCTTGGTTTTCATGCATGGTCTGTTCTGCTCTGTATTCAATTCGGACTGAGTGAAGAAAAAATAGTAAATTAACATATGGGCTTTTTTTCAAAGATTACAACTTAGTTGGAATCGTGAGCTTGTTTAGGGGAAATCTCATGTACGTGCAGCCACGTCAGCCCCCAGACTGATATCATTCAGTCCTTGCAGACTCACCTCACTCTGCAACACTCAGCAATTATGCTTAAGTCTTCTGCTCTGAATGGTAAATGCTTAGTCTGCATCGCACTGTGGGAAGAGCCTGGAGGACTGAATAACATCAGCTTAGAAGGCTTTACACACGGCCCATTGAGAAATAATTTTTATCCCAGGGTTTAGCTTAAAAATTAGCATGTATCCAATCTTTAATTAATTTAGTCTTGCCTTATTTCATGATACCCTTGTTTCAGGATGTCAACTTGCCAATAGTCAAAGGGCTAACAAATAAGAGAGAGAGAGACATTCTGCCTACAGGTGTTTGACAGCATAGTTGAGGTAAGCTGAAAACAATAAAGAGAAATAGACTTAGAATCCACCAGGAGAAAAGGAAGTCACACCTTCGATGTGAGGCGAAATTGCTCGTCAAATGACCACTTCCATCACACCCCGGTGTGGGACATCTGCCACCAGAAAAATAGACAGATTTATAAGCCCAAAGGGAAGGAGAAGAAAATGTGAAAATTACAGAAAAAAAAAGTTGTTTCTGATTTTGTTTTATTGTTGGTTTTCATTGTTTCCAGTTTAGCTTCACTGTCTGTGATTAATATTGTGGTTCCTGAGATCAGCTACACTTGATATGGCATAATACTGACAACTAGCGTTGTGTCTTATAAAGATAAAGCATATCAAAAGAGGGAAACTGCACTGAAGGCATCAGCAGAGAGCTACCAGCTCTAAGATCAGTTTGGACAAATGGATAAAGCTGTTAAATAAAAGTCATATAGCAAGCCAGCAGCACAGGATGGGGGGACGGAGAGAGAAATAACAGTGGTTCTCTGAGGTTAACTGGAGCAAAGAGGAGGAAGGAAACAAAAGAAAGAAATAAGATGGAGGGGGGGGAGCAGAACATGAGTGGGGAGAAGCAAGTGGGGTCAGGTGGATTGGAGGAGCACTGGGACGTTGGGAAGCGTAGGAGAGCTCTTACGTTATCAGGTCCTTCTTACTCTCTTTGCACTGGACATACTTGGGCTTGGGGCTGGGCATGTTAACATCTGTGGTGTAGGAGCGGTCGTCCAGCAGGTCATGGAAGGGATCCAAGTCATCTGGCTGAGTTTGGGGAAAGGAGGGAAGAGAAGAAGAAGAGACAAAAGGGAGGAGGAACACAGGGAGGGAAAGGGAGAAGAGAGTGATGAAGACTCTCCCGCCATTATTATACATTTTCAGAAATCATGCTGTGTGCACATATTACACAACACATGCACTCAATCTGAATTGATTATTAATCGGAACATGATGAAAACTTGAGTCTTTTTCCTTTGCCTTCCTTACTTCTTTAGCTGTTTTTTTTCCACACACACACACACACGCACACCTGTCAGACCATAGAGTCTTGTCAATTTGAATGCTAATGGTTGAGCCTGTGTGACTATTGAGCCTCACCTGTCAGTCTAACAGAGCTAGAAAATAGAATCCCTGGGAGGAAATAATGACTCAGTGCCAAACGAACACTGTGTGTATGTGTGTGTGTTTGCAGGCTCACTCATGGGTTTGTTAATCTACATAGAGCATTCTTGTGTGCGTGCGAGTACGGAACATTCAGGGAGTTGGCTGGTTATATTCTTGTAATGCACCAGTCAGTCACTAGATGGCACTGTGATGTAGTGTCAGACCGCTGCTGGCTGTGTTATGTGGGGCGGTGCTTTGTCTGCAGTGCATGCAGCGAGGGCACGACGGCTGTTGATGCAAATCCTCTTTCCTTTCTTTCATGCTCGCAGTGTATGTACAGTAATGCCCATAAAGAGACAGGTCCAGATACAGCCCAAATTATCCAGCGCTCAAGCTGTCTCGGAGTGTGTGATGCTAGGTCAGCGAGCGAGCTTCTCCAATTAAAGTGAGCGCAGGCTGAGAGGCAGACAGGAAGGAGAACGACACATGCATACATACAGAGACGCAGAGCAGAAAGTAGGCTAGGGATGGAACTCGCATATAAGCACAGACACACTCCCAAAGAGACATGGGTACAGACACACACTCATACTCGAATGAATATTCACATTTCACACACACCAGCAGAGGCACATGTACTGCACATGCATGCGCCTGTGCACGCCGACAGGCGCACCCAGCAGTGGTGCATTGATTTCCAGCAGTTCTTTGATGAGATGAGCTATTCCGATTCCCTCCCAAGGTGCTACTTTGCATAATTCATTTTGGAGAAGAGCGAAATGTAAAAACAGAAAGCCAGCATGCGGGGAGCATGATACAAACAGAGCAGATACCTCTGTGCATGGCAATGCTGACATCAATTAACATGCAGATTCATTAGGTTTCCTTAAAAAATCCCTAATATGACTTTCTAATGATTCGACATATAATAGTGAGTCAGACAGGGAGGTAAGAAACCAGGAAGACAATCAGACGGCAATGCAAATATTTGACTTGGAGACACTGTGTTGAATCAATGGCTTGGAGGGAAATAATTTTGGCTGAGACACATTGAACAGACAGTCTAAGTGATGCATGCCAACTGTAATATCAGCTTCCAAAACCACAAACTATCATATACTACTGCTTTATAATTATCATCAACGGCATCACTATCTGTCATTTGTTTTCAATCTCTCTCTTATTCTTCTCTTCATCACTTGTCATCATTTCTATCTCAATCCCGATATTGTCAAAAACATCTTGAAGGAAACTGAATATGTGATGGAACATTCTGAGGCAAAGGAGACAGTCTTATGGGTTTAGCTGATCAAAAATAAAATATTTGCCTGAATAGGAATGATGTATTATTCTGCTTCATATATTGCAATTTTAATTCATCTTTTTAAGGTGATTCAACCTTTACTTCTTCTTCTTCTTCTATATTTTAAAGACACTGAATGATTATGTTTGGGCAGAGATCTGCCCACCTTCCAGAAAATATTATACATAACATCATTTATAATTCATCTGGCCACAACCAGACATTAGTGGTCAAGTGAATTTCCAACATTGTCCTTGTCATTTTGCCCTTTACCTCTTTCTCGTCCTCGTCTATGTGTTTGATCTTGGTGTAGTCTACAGGCAGGTCCCAGCAGTCGGCGGCATCCCCCATGCCGTAGCAGCGGGAGCCCAGCAGGGCGGCTTGCCTCTGGGGGGACATGGGCTCTAGAGGGGTGAGCACCGAGTCCCCTCCACCGCCGCTGCACAGACGCTTGCTCATACTCAGGTCCAACGTACCATTCTCATCAACATCTAGACCGGGGCTCTGGAAAGTGTATGTGGATGTGGTTTTTGTGCATGTGTATATGTGTGTGGGGGTAAATCAGGTCAGTATATGTGGAGGAGATGGGTGTGTGTGTGTGTGAGTGTTTTCAGTAAGATGATTATGAGGAAGAGTAAAAGGATGCACGGAACATAAGAGGCAGGGATGGAGAGAAAGGGATAAAAGAAAGAGAGTTTCTGATTAAATAGCAGTCAAACATATTCATACTCTGGGATCATAGCTGGGCAAAACAGTAGCTGAATACATGGTGAATACTAAAGAAGTACATGAAAAGTGCTTGAATTTTCTGTTCCTCCAGTGATGTGTTCACTTGTGAACTTTTTAGATGTCTGGAAAGATGGATCAAGAACACCTGCAGTTCAAATACCTGAAACAATATTCCAATTTATTTTTTGCCCAAGTCTGCCTGGGATGAAACATTAGACACTTGCAGTGTACAGTAACAATGTGGTGGTACACTCATAAGAGGTTCAGAAGAAGAAGAGGTCATCAGTGCTCAAGGACGAGTGCATCCCTCTGTGAACCCCTCCTTTTCTCTTTCTCTCTCCGCCTCTCTCTTTCCTTCCATCCCACTATGGTCTCTACTGTGTTCTGTGCAGTCAGACATGTGCGTGTGTGTATGACTTTGTGTTTGTGTGTGTGTGAGACTAATGTGAGTGGACATCACAGGAGGGCAGGGGCTGAGGGTTAGGGGTGGGGTTGAGAGCAGTGATGAGCAGCAGTGGCTGGAACTAGACTGCTGCAAACCCAAAAATAGAGGCAGAACTATACTGTGTTCTGGAACAAAGTGGGCCACATCCAACAAGACTGACTGCTCACTAAAGCATTCACTTTGCCTCCTGAGCGTAGGTTGGTATCTATATATCAATGCCTTTTCTTTAATCTACATCTGGCACATACTCTATATACCAAAAGAGTCCCACTGCAGCAAGGATTATGTTTTGGGAGGCATGTGTTTATGTCCTTGCTCTCGTTAATATCCCTCTCTCTGACTCTCTGTTCTCATCTCCCCTCTCCTCCTCATCCTCCTCGCTCCCTTTGCTCCCTTTCATAAGCAGGAAAGCCCGCTCTAATGCTGATTCCAGCTGACAGTGTCCCTAGGGGTGGATTCTCCTGGTGTCTGAAGCCAAAACCTCTGTGACGCACATTGACTGAAACGCACAGGGTGATAGATTTGGGGCTGGGTGTGGATACTGCAACAACTGTGGCTGAACCAAAGACTTAAAAATAGGAGAAACAAGGCCTGGGTCATTAGTTTGTGGAGGAAAATATCTCACATAATAAAAGGTACTATATAAAGTTGGGAATCATGCAAGACAAACACAGAGACGATGGGGTGCTAAATACAAAGACATTATAAGGCTGAGCAGGCACAATGCAAACTGAGCTTTTACAATGGCACCTGTCTGCAAAACTGTTACAGCTGACATTATTCCAAGCTGTAGGTGTAAGTGCTTCTATCAAACACACACTCACTATTAAAACACTAAAGGCTGAAGTGTAGGTTTGAGGCCAGGATCTTGAAAGAGAGAGAGAAGGGGGCAGAAGATGAGTAGGAAATGAGTAAAGGACTGTAAGAGCAACACTGTAAAATAAAGGTCAAATTGCTGCGGAACAGATCCAATGGCACATGCCTCATCGTGTGTTGCCATGACTCGTCTTGTCCTTGTGAATATGCACAGCGGACCGCCTTCTTCTTGTCAGCCATTGTATTGTATGTCATCGTCCAATTAATGTGACCCACCCCTTCATATCGAATTAAAGAGGATGATATGTGAGGATGCACCCCACCTCCTTCATTAGAGACCACCCCTTCTCACTCTGGCCCCCCCGGTAACCCCTGACCCCTGTTGCCATGGAGATGCTGGGTGGAAGAGGGCCAGAGCGTGAGAGGTCACTTGCTAATTCTCGCCACATTACTTCTGCCCACCTATTCCATGTCTTAAAATAAAACCAGCATCATATCCTGTCTTCCTCTCTGGCCTTTTCTTCACTTTTCACTCTGTTGGTTCGTTCTCTCATTGTGCTCACCATTTCCTCCTTCATGTATTTAGAATTTAGAAGAATGGCTCAATTAAAAAAAGAAATTATTATTTTTTTATTTAAATGATCTTATTTTGGCAACCTCCTTTGTCAGTTGTTCAAATGGAATAATCTCAGAGGCTTCGATGGAAAATTACACTTTGGTTAAACTACTTACAATTTTAAGGGAGGTCACCAGCCAAAAAGGTTTGGAACCACTAAGATAAACTAGGCTAATCTCACTGGTTAACATACCTTATACTTAAAAACATGGTAAACAGGAAGACTCCTACCAAAGCAGGCTAACATGGTATATGACTTTAAGACATGATATAACGCAGCTACCCATAATTCAACGAGCAGACTGAGTATAAGAGAAACAGGCCGATAGACAAGGAGGTGAGAATAGATGTGTGTGTGTGAAGTTTCATTCAGACATAGAAAGGAACAGTGTGTGCCACGAGGTGAGGTGTTGAGATGAAAGAGAGAAGAAAAAAAAACACCCTTCTGAAGTCTCCCGTCTTCCCATCCTGCCCTGAGAGCATCCTGCCCGTCTGGCCCCGGAGCAGGAGGAGGACAGACAATGAAATGAGGTAGGGCCAGAGGAAGTCCTGACTGCTTCAGGCGTTTGTTCCCACCAAGTTTATTCCGTTCCACTTTTCTTTGGAAGTACGTTGCTTTTGGCTTTTATCCTTTCCTCCCCTTTTCTTCTGCTTTCTCCTCTTCTGTATCCCCCTTTCCCTCTACTCTCCTTCTGCACAATGACATTTAGAAACCTCCCACCAAAAGCGCTTTCTTTGCTCTATTTTTTTATTTTCAATTTTATCACGCTTGTTCTCATTCTCTGCCAGTCTCTGCTGTCAACATTAGCATTAAGCCAGCATTAGCCCTCTGCTGTGCGCTCTCTTTCTGGCCCCCATTTTCCAGCTCAGCATCTGGGTGCAGATAATACAGGAACACCGTCACCTTATCTCCTCAGAAATGACACACTGGGCTCACGCCGTGTCAAACGGCGCTTCGTCCTGCTCCTATCTGATCCCCAGACGGAAAATAAAAAACAGCCCTGCTGAGCCCTGAGTGTAAGACACAGCCCCAGATCTTTAATGGAATGTGTGTGTGTGTGTGTGTGTGTGTGTGAGTGTGTCTATGTGTACGTGGGGTGTGCGCAACTGAAATCTTCCTATCTTTGTCAGTTTTCACTGCCAGCATTAGTATAATGAAGGACGCACAGAGATAATCTGTCAGAGGATTTTTTGTGACTGCAGCAGGAGGCCAAAGTCTTACAAAGGTGTAGTGAATACAGAGTCATGTGAGGCTGCGGAGTCAATTCAGGTGATGTGATAACTTCCTTTCATTAAAAAAAACAAACAAAAAAAAAACTCACCAGAATTTCTAGAACGTAGATACGTCTGATTTTGGCATTTAGGTGATAAAATGTACAATATGACAGGATCCCTCCTCACCCCTCCTACCTGCGAGCACAGGTCCTGGGGCTTCCCCCCCATGCCATGGGGCATTTCCCGGCAGCGCGTGGACAGGTTGAGGATGGCTGTGGCTGCCATGTGGGCGGCCTCCATGTCGTGGCTATAGTCAAAGCTGCTCTTGCTGCAGGTGCTGCTAGCGCTGCTGCCCCCGCCCCCTCTGCCTCCTCCCGCGCCCCCTCCTCCACCTCCACAGCTCAGGCTACTGCTGCTACTGCTGGGAGCGTAGGTGCTGGTGGTGCTGCTGGCCGAGCTGGAGTTCTTGCAGTAACGTTTGGCTGTGGGACATATTAAAGCAATCAAAAAGAGTGGACATTAATGGGTTAATGCATTTAGATAAACTACTGACACGGATGTATGTATGGATTTACATGGAAAATTGTTTTTCTGTTCATAAAGGTGATGAGGTGTGCTTTTACTGTACAGACAAGAAGATTATTTTTATAGTTTTTAGATTCATAAAACAGCCTTGAAAACACCAATTAATGGTCTTCTAGTTTTGTTATTTTAATTGACACTCTTATCCAAATTCCAAGAAATATTTATGTGTGATACAGCTCAAAGGAATCTTTTTATAATCATGTGTGTAGATGTATGAGTTTACTAAAATTAAGCAACAATTAAAATTGAAATGTCTGATGGAGATGAATATAGCCAATTTGATCTTGCTGTAAAATACCGTCATATCCTTTGGGGGAGGTGTCTCTTTGTCCATGAACTTTGGGTGCGATGGCCCGTTTCCCGTACACTTGGTGGTTGTTACTGCCATCAAAGGCGCTGTAGTCAAAGCTGGTCTTGGAGTACTTCTCCAGCTCCTTGGCCAGGTTGGAGCGGGGCGTGCTGGTGGAAACATTGTTCTTGTAACCATACTGTGGATAGTCCAGTTGTTTGACAAAGCACATAGGCCTGGAAAATAAATGACGAGGGGGTGGAAGTTGGACCGAGGCACTCAACATTGCCCAGGGGAAGGAGAGGGAACTTGGGGTTTGGTTAAAAAATGGGCAGATGCAAGGGAAGGGGCAGACTATTATGGTAATACTCCAGGATCAGAATATGGAGGATGATGCTGGTGGAAGGTGGGGTGATTTAGGGTGCGGGGCATCCCTTTCATACACCATAGCATGGATGTTTTTCTTTCTCCTGCTTTACAAAAAATAACCCTGCTACAAGTGTTTTTCATGCCTAGTCAATAAAAAACAGCAAAAATGTAATTTCTGCTTTTCTTTTATTACGCTTGCATACTTCTGATATGCTTTTATCATTTGATATGCATTTATATCCTCAATCTAAGACCAGGAAGAAATGAAATGTAAGATCTTGCACTGCTGTTGTTCAGTTAGATATAAATATAAAAATTACAATAACTTATGACTTTTCATCATAGCATTGGCTATCAAAGAAACTCTCATTCAAAAAACTCTGTCTTCTCTATGATAAATGGGGCCAATTTTGTTCAAATCTAATAAAGTGATTTGCCTTCAATAGTGAGCACGGAAATGAACATGCAGTCTCTTGAAAGAATTCTCAGGGGACAGGAAAACATAAACATAAAACAAAAAGGGGAGACTTAAAAATCTAAATAGCTTTACAAAATGCAGGGGGGAACAACAAAACATTCCAACATGACTGAATAACACTTCTCTACATGTATTATACACAGTACAGCACAAGATCTACATTTGCATGTTCTTTAAGTGAATGACCACCTAATTTATATCAAACATTCTTCTGAAAATAGACCGCATATGGATTGGCTATGCACTAAAAAACTTACAACAGTTCCATACCATATTTTGGCTACCTCCAACAGAGAATTTCACATGCTGTAGATCAGTGACTCCCACCCTGGAGGTCAGGGCCCCTCCAGTGGGTCACAAGATACATCAGAGGGGCTAGTGAGATCATTAATGGGATAGGAAAGAAGAAAATGTTCTGCTACATAAATTTGCATTATTTGTTTGTATTTTATCTAATCTTTCCTTCTTTTGTGAAATCTGTTTTACCTCTTTGAGTCTCAAACATTTATTCAAATCAGACAATCTCAAAACTCAAAGACTTCTGATGTCTGCGAGAAGGAATCAGGAGTGAACGCTGTTCATCTTAAGGGGTCACGAGCCAAAAAGATTGGGAGCTACTGATGTAGATGAAAGTAAAGAGTGAATACTACCTTAAGACTCGGTCAGAAGCCTGGTTGGATTTGGAGCCGTCACAGCTCTGGTGCTTCTCCTGGGCTTTGGCCAGCTTCTCAGCTGCCGCGATAGGACATCCTGACAGACTGAAATGAGAAAGCGGCTTAAGTGGCATAGGGGAACGTGCATCTGAGACACATTTTGATAGGTGAAAATGTTACATTGAATGCACATGCTGTAAAAATGTTTGGCTTGTTAAGAGTACTTGTCAGCCAGTCTGCCAGCCTGAAAATAGCTAGTGCACATCTGTCTGTCAGCCAATCAATCACAGTGTCTACCAGTTTGAAAATACCTGACTGTAGTTCAGAAAGTCTCTGTTTAAAATGCAAAATCATTAATTTTTTTTATCACTTAACATTTTTACACAACAAAATTGGCAACAGCTTGCATGTCTCTGGTTGAGCGGCTTGAAATAATTCTCAGAATAGATATTCCCATATGGACAAATGTGCATTTTTACGTGCATTCTGCAGCATCTTGTTTCCTTCAAACACATGCTGACAAGACACACACACTCACATACACTTGGGATCTACACCTACAGTATGTTCCAATAGAATTTAGGGCTGCAAAACTTGCTCCTGACAACTAACTGACCAAAAGTGACAAAAGTTCATGTTGTTATCCTTAACCCCTATTATTCTCCATCCAGTCTGTCAACTGTAGTGTGCTGGGCCATGGTGAAAAAATTATCTTTGACAATGGCCTGAAGCCAGTATAGAGTTGTGTTCCTGAGCACCTGTCATCAGACGTGCATGAATGTGTGCCGGGGTAAGAGTGTGTATCAGGTTTGGAAGTGTGCTGGTAGTACATGGAGGTTTTATATCAGCTCTTTCTAGTAAAAGCCAAAGTTTACTGTGCGTGTCCATGTGCGTGCCTATTTTGCGCTGCAGCCGTGTCACTGAGCACAGCATGGAGCCATTCTGGTCCTCCCAGGTCTGCACCTCTCCTGTCACCCTGGCTGAGTGGCAGAAAGGTGCTAATGGCTGCTGCTATGCCCGACTCCCTGAGCATCTGCTGTGGGTGACACTCCTCTTTCACTGTCACCTCGCCCCGTCTGACAGCACTGGCAAGAGAGCCGTGCTATTTCAGTTTCTCCCTCCAAACCTGCACCTGATAGATGCCATTTTTCGCCACGAGCTGATAAATGATTTATGCTGTGGAGGTGTGAAATGCTGCATTCTAATCAGTCTCAGTTTAACTATGGGATTTTTAAGCAGCTGAACTACTTAATTATTAATTATTTCCTTCTACCGATACAGCATAAGAAAGACTTATCCACACAAAAAAGACAATGTGTTGGAAAGACAAAAAGGATGAGTTTACCAATAACTAAACAAAAAGATGATGTGAAAAGAAACTGAGGATGGAAAAATAATACCTCATTAAAAAATAGTCCCACGGTGAAAAAAAGGAGGGTGCAACATGGACAGTGCCATTTTCATAAGGGCAGGCTGTCACTTACCTTCTGTGGGAGTTTCTGTTGCTATTGACATGGCCGCGTCCCGTGCAGCCAGGCGTAGGACACTTAAGAACATTCTCATACATAGCCACAACTTCACACAGACAGGAGATAGGAGTGAAAGACAGGGAAGGTTAGGAGCCCCTTACAATCACGCATGAGCTCTATTAGTGTGTGAGGAGCTTGGCATTATAAACATCATTAAGAAATGAGCCTGTGTGAACCAAAATGACCTCTTCTTCATTTTAATGAACACTAGTTTGAGAGGGCAGGCAAGGTTTCCCACCATATTGCTTCCACTTATCCAGCCCTTTCAAATTAGTATTCATGGAATAGGGACAGTCATGAATAAAAAGATGTCATTTGAGTTTAACAGGACAAAGCCAGCAAGAGACAGAAATGGAAGGAAATTTTGGGCATGCAAAGAGCAGAGCAACCAACAGCTAGCAATCATGCAAAACACAAGCTTTGAAATCAATGGAAGGAGCAGACAGATAGAATACAGCTCCTTGATAGAGTGTGCTTTGTTATCATCCCCACGTTGTTAGGGTAAAGAGCGCAGTCTTCAATACCATTTACCATTAAAACAGTCCATAACTGTCTCAGATCCCCTCGGCAACCAGCCAATTAGATTAATGATCTATGGATGTCCAAGAGGAGCCGTCGGAGCACCGCAGGCGCGGGGAAGGGTCGTCTCACGCGCAGGGCCAAACCCCATCGGCACCAGCTTCATCATTATCACCCCCTTAAACTTTAACCCCTCATCATCCTCCTTCCCTTACATACTAATTGGTGTTCGGTGCAGGTAATTGGACAAATCCTGCCACCTCAACATGCCACAAGCCAATACATTATGCATATGCCAGTTTTGCCCTCTGCAAAGACAAGATAGAATGGCAAGAAATTAAAGCACCAGGCCTGATTCAGTGGGCATAGATAGAAGTATAGGGCTGCTAAGGAAAAGAACGGTATAAGAAAGCCAACAGGAAGCAACGTTGCTCCAAATGTTACAAAGGTAATTCACTTTAAAGACAAAAACAAAGACTCCCATGTGAGCTGATTAAATACTTTAGCATTCTACAGAAAAGAGCTACAATGAGCAAACAGGAATGGGAATTAATGAATTTGAGATATAATTTAATCGTCATTTTTCACATTTCCCAAGGAACAGTCTGGTTGCACTGTGTGATTTCCCAATTAAATGAAGCCACTGCATTAATAATACATTGTCCATTCAGTACAGCAAATGTGTTAATAGGGGAGAGAAAATTGCCCATAGCCGAATCTTCCCCACAGGCAGCTCCATGTGTGACATGTACTCATCTTTACCTTTAAAGTGGTGAAGCAAGGTGTCAGTCTGCATGAGACTATTGACCACGTATTGACAGAGACTTAGTGACTGGCTGCTACATGGCTGATAATGCAGAGACCTAGCGAACTCATGCCACCTAAAGCAGGTCACCTTTTAACAGCAACAAGACTGTGTGTGTGTGTGTGTGTGTGTGTATGTGTGTTTGTGTTTACTCTCAAGTATCCTTTTGAAGTCAAAGAAGAAGGACTGAAGATGATGCCACAAAGATCAAGTAGAAAACTTTTTGTGATCCAAAGCATCCTGTGCAGTATTAGTGGTATCATCTCCACAAAAAGTCAGCCCGATCAACACAAGTAGGGAACAGGAGGAGGAACACAGACATCATATTCCAAAATCTCCAGTGACAATCAATTCAAGCCCATTCCAAATTCCATTTTGGGGCTCTTGATCCCAGTCAAGGTCAACTGCTCTGAGTAATTTCACATTTCTGGGAGACAGGTACATCTCAGGTTAGGGACCTTTGCGTGAGCAGCGCTCCGCAGAACAAGAGTCATCTGTGACACTGCTGGTCTTTACAAGCCTGGCTTTAATGGTAACTAATTTCTTTGCCATTATTAGGACCCTCTTTTATTTTGATTGCAGTCTGGGTCATGGCAGATCATAACTTGATTTTCATGCTGCGGTTAATGAAACGTGTAAAGGGGCTTTTATTGAGAAGTTTGCACAAGGTGAATGAGACTAAATAGCCGGGGTGAAATCTCCAAAGGGAAAACTCACTATTCATTCAAGGCTAATGTTTATTGCCACTTCACTTGATCTGTGGCTTAGAGATATGATACTGCCTTTCGATTCAACAGAAATTAATTGAGCAAGGAACACAAATAAATGAATGGGGTTTATGGCATGGATGACTGAGGCAGGCTCAGTGTTATCAAGGTCTGTAAGTGTTTTTTTTTAGTAAGTTTTTAAAAAAAAATCTAATGTTAAGACTCAATTAACATTAAAAAGATACACAAATAAATGAAATACAGCAGCATGGCATTTCACCTTTTCTTATCAGTCACAGTCAGTAAAGCATGCTGTGAAAAAGCATGCTACCCATATAGCCCCTACAATGATGAAACCAACAACAGTGAATGGGATTATCATATACTCTTAATCACTGTCAGTCAATCCAGTGGAGGACAAAGTCTCATGCAGTCAGGTGAATCACTGATTGACAGCTGTTGACTATCCCACCAATGGCTGCAATGCCACTATTTGCGCATCACCAAGGCCTCATTTCCCGCCTCATCACCACGGCACACTAGGCAGGCAATCAGCAAGCAAAACCATGGCCCCATGCAAAAGGTCAAAGAGAAGTGCAGCTGCAACCCGTCTGACCCCTCACTGTACCCGCCCCCCACCCCGCTGAAATATCAAACACAGTCCAATCACAACAGCAAGTGCACAGCACACAGAACAGGCCAGACACAGCAGTGATCACGGGAAACATGCCGATTGCTGAACATCAAAGAGCATGGAGGCCACAGGTTGGGTAAATAAGCCAAACCAGTGTTTGACTGGTGTGTGACCGAAGTGCTTACTTTCTGGTGGCACCCTGTCTTTGTGCGGACAGCCGGACAGGCTCCGATGGTGGGGGTACAGGCCCGTCACGTGACCCGTGCCGTCGCAGCCTGGTGTAGGACACCGACTTTCCTTCTTGTCTGCACGTGAAGCATCTGTTAGCAGAAAGTCATTTGAGGTGATCACACATAACAAAATGCTGCACTGCTGCACTGAGTACGGCACGTTAGCAGATGTGGGGATGGTACTATGTCAGCTACATAACATTAGAGATCTAAGTTGCAAAGTATCACATCTCCCAGGTGACATGCAAGTTATATGGGAATTAAAATGTCATAGGTGAATAACAGAAAATGTATGACCTAAAGACAGAGAGTTATACATTACGTTGGGAGCTGTGCACAGCTGCATCAGTAAGGTACAGATGTACAAGAAGGGTCATTTTTCTATTAAGGGTTTATATATGTCAGTCTGTCATGGATTTCTTGGACTTTTCAGTAACTATCGGTACAGTGTAATTTCTCTTGGGCACAGGGTGGATATGTCTTTCTCACTTTTAAACCTCTTAGGTAGAACATTATGTTAAATATTAGAGAAGGCAGTCTCCTTTTTAGTCATTTTTAGTAAAGACGATGCATATACAGTGCTTATCTGTGTATGTAGTCTGAAACAAAATGTGATTTTAAGTAAGGTTAGTATATAAATATTACAATAATTTAAATCAGCATTTGTTTGTTTTATTTTATTACCATTAATTTAGAAAGTATGATTTCATAAGAATGTGTTATTTTCTAGACTGATATAAATGTTATTAATGCAGGAAATAGTATTTACAAAACATCTGACTTCATGCCCCCACTTCTGAAACCAAATATACGCCCTTGACTACTGCCACCCAAAACACTTGAATTTTAAGTAGATTTATTTTTTTATTCATAGACTATTATTTATTGCTGTGCTTATTTGAAGAAATGGAGTGATGACTGACAAGGACAAAGATCCAATAATTGGCTTGATGACAGATCTTTTGATCATGAAGTTTGTTTACTGTGATGAAATTGTGAAAATTTGTGAAATATTACAGCTCTCGTGTTAGTGACCTTCAATGAAAAGTGTTTTACCTTTCATTTTAGATTCAATTAAGAATTTATCATACTTGTCTTCATTAAAACCACTCATGCCTCACATGACAGTTTGTTGTGCTGAACGTGACAATGAGGGTCCAAAATACACACACACACTCAAAAACACACAGGCACATGCACACACACCGGATGGGATTGTCTTTCCCTTTCCAAAATCTGGTTCTTCTATTTCTTCGAAATCCAGATCAGATTTAGTTACCACCAAAAAGCAGCAATGTCAAGCTGTGCCAACTGGCATTGTTTCTGCAGATGTAACCATCCACCTTTAAAACACTTTGACTCTCAAACAAGGTCAAGGTTCTTCTTACGGTCAATACAGTGTGTCTTGTTGATGCAGTTTACATTACTATTTTAATGAAAATTAGGAACATTTACAAAGCATAACAGCCTGTAATATCTTCTCATAGCAGGGTTACAGGAGTATAGTGTTCAGATTGTATCATTTTTGGGCCATTTGAGTGACCGAAAGCGATCTGGAGCAAGTTTTAGCAAAGTAGACAAGGGAGTGGCTATTATCTCAGGCCACAGAAAGACAGACCACTGATTAATGTTTTACAGGCCTGTGTAACTTAGTAGCTCCAGCTAAGGCACTTACTGACAAACCAAAAAAAAACAGAGCTAGTGGAGTAAGAGCAGTGAGAAGAATAATCAAATGAAGGGGGTAGAAGGGTTGAGTAAAGACAAAATTGAGAGGTGGCATGAAGCACACCTACTCATACATTTACAAGTGAGTCACCAAATGAAATCCTATGTCTCATTCATCAGAAAGAAAAGGACCTCATTAATCTCTGTGGCTGCCATCTATCTATGTCACGTTAAGGGCATCTGAGTTTGGTACAATATTGCGATGTCATGTCTGGTTCTTCTGTCTGGCACCAGTGCAGTAAAGGCAGAGAGATTTCATGTTGATAAAGAACTTGGTCTGCATGTAAAATGTGGCTTCTTAATAATTTCTTCTTTTGGGCCATATTATTACACTGACTGTTAGTGTTTGAACAGTATGTATATTATATCATATACATATATGATGCCTGTGCATTCTGCCTGCCACGCTTCTATTGCAGAGAGTGAGGCAGCCAAGTGGAAGGCATATTAGAAAGCAGGGGATATTGATTGTGGCTGAGGACGGTCTGCGCTTTGCATAGCAAATGGCCCCCATTACCATACCATCTCTGGATAATTAATGTGCAGTCAGTGGGCCTGTCGTTCGTTATCGGTCATTCTGATACTGTTCAATTTTCATCTCAGCCTCATGCTTCTCTTAGGGAGCTGGGCTCCTCTCTGAACCCCAGCATCCCCCATCCCCCATCCCCCCCTCCCTCGCCATGCTGTTTTATGAATCACACAGCAACCCTGGTCAACGAGTGTCTGCTACTATCTTGCCCGGGGAAAGATGTTATCGCGTCGCAACTGTCTCGCGTCCTCCCATTATTCCAACATTAGCCAGACACAAGGGCCATGGACGGCTCTTGAAATTAACATTTGTGTGGCATTTAAATCGTAATATATACCTGCTGTTAGTTGTGTGGCATTTAGGGTGTAATATCCCCCTGCTGTGAATTAGCATGTTCTTATTTGTTGGTCTCATCTGATACCTTCCTTATGGGAGGAAATTATTTAACCTAAGTCTGAATATAGTTGCACTAAAGGATATGATAAGAAGAATAATTAGGAGTTTAACAAGGGAGCTTGAAATCAGACCACTGTAAATGCCACTGCAGACCAGGTCAGGTCTCTGTGACTGCAACCCTAGTCAGTACGTATACAAGCACATCCAATGTACTGTATAACAACTACCACTGATGGAATCCTGAAGTCTCTGTACTGTATGATTAGCCATATATGTGTATTTGTCTTTCTGTGGTATCAGTATCAATCTTAATGGCAGGTCATAAACAGATGTAAAAAGCTTCATTGTTCCCTACAGAATGAATCCTTTCTAAAGACAGAAGGCCTCTGTTTTGTAGCTTCCTCTCCCAAGTGCTTGCGCAGGTTTAAAAATAGGCAGCTTTACCCCAAGCTGCATCGAAGGGATGAGATTTGCGGTCCTAACAGGCCGTGCAGATTGCCATTACTTATGCCTGACAAGCCTACCCTCTGATGTTTCCATGCTGGCCTATTTTAACAACATAAGCTGCTGCTGCCGCTCCCGCTGCTACCGAGATGCGAATTTCCAAATTGGCTGAAAAAGCTTGTCCTGGGGTTATAGTCAGGTTCCCAGAATGCATGTGGGCTGTCTAGTCTCCGGCACAGGATAGATAGAATACAGAGCCAAACAGTGGCAGACAAACATTTTACCTGAGCTTGTTAAATGAGGTAAACATGTCTACACTTGTGATAGACATAGATATGGTTTCCAATGGAGGCTTGGTGTAGATCTGAGCGTGTCCATGATTGAAAGAACCACTCACCTTTATGGTAGAAAGGCTTCTTCATACCATCAGGAAGCCGGGCTTTACGCTCAAGGCCGTAGCCATGCCGTGGGCCATGGTCTTCATGACTATATCTCACCCCGTCTCTCCTGGCAGCCTCAGCCGCCATTTTATCCCGCATTGCCTTGGCACGTTCTGACTCTAGTGCAATGGCCTTCTCCAAGAGGGACAGGTTGCCCTTTGTCATGTCAAACACTTCTTCTGAGCGGTCCGACGTCACAGAGGCTGTGTCCTCATCGAAGTCCCGGTGGTTGGTGTGATATCTGTCGTCCTGTGCGCAACTGGAGAAGGCCTTGGAGCGTGGACTGAGCTGTTCCTCAAGCTTCATAAGATTGTCCATGTCGGAATAATTCCTATCAAGTGTCCGCCTGTCATCTTGGCTGTGGTGGAAATCCCCATAGCTGTGATGCTGGGGCTGTTGATTGGGATCCCCGCATGAAAAATGATTTTGCTGGGATGGTCCGATTCGGTCAGCAGACTTGGTTTCACTGAGTTTCCGAGCCAGGTCGAAGCATTGGTTCCGTAGGCACTCCAGACTGCTTAAACACACTTCTTCGTCACTATTTTCTATTTGTCCATTACTGGTGGTCTTAACTTGTCCATTACCACCATTGTGTGCATTTCCCCCATTGTGAGTACAGTCATTCTTATCCCCATTCTCAGCTGTACCATCCTCAAACTCCTGTCCGTCTAAATTGTCAGCCAATACTGCACCGTGACCTTGTGCCAGCAGTTTAAGGGAGTCCACCGTCTCCCGAACCACATCGCTGTCAACGTCCAAACTCAGATCACCCCGCTGTGTTTCATCCCCTTCCCCCTCTTCTTCTTCCTCCTCTTCCTCCTCGTCTTCTTCTTCCTCCTCCTCCTCCTCTTCGTCGTCATCCTCCTCCTCCTCTTCCTCCTCCTCTTCTTCTTCCTCAGCGCTGTTAGAGGAGTTGCTGTTCATCTCAGATTCCGTCATGGCTCGGTTGGCAGCGTCTTCTGCGATCTTGCCCAGGTTGAGGAGGGACTTGGCCACGAGTTCGTCATAGTTCTCGTACTCGTCATTGTTGTTGTCGTCCTTCTCCGTCGCTGGGCCAGATTTGGCATTGCCGCCACCACCTCCACTATCGCCCTCGGCCCCCTCACCACTGCTCATCTGATCGTCCTCTGTTGGAAAGAAAGAACAAACGTCTTGTAATTTCATTTCCGTCATTCTATTTTACTGGTAAATCAGATTTCTGGGCTTGGTCCATCTAAATTGGATAAGGAACTCTTTGCTTCCCCTAATAATTTACTTTGAGAGTCTTAACAGCAGCTTGTGTTCTGAATTGTGAATCAGCACAGGAAGTTAAATATAGCGATTGGGGAAGGTTCCAGAGAAAGATGCTCTGGTAAATGAGAATCTATGAAACCAGGGACTATATCTTTGGCAAGTCTTATTTTTGCCCTTATTTCCAGGATGTCTTTAGAAAATTATATTCACAGGTCTTTTGATTAATAATATTACTAAAGATTTCTGTAAATAGCTGCAAATGAGGTAACATTTTATTCATTATTCAGCAGTGTAAATCAAAACACAGAAATGCAGAGAGCATTTATTACAGGAGAGTCTAAAATCTAAAAGATAATATGGTGTTCCATTTGCAACACGATGAACCACCGTCAGTAGCTATTCATCGTTTGCTAGTAAAGTTCTTTTTTCATTCAATCATCAGTATCTTTAGAATTCCTTTCACTGCCTAATTGATTCTGACAGGCTGCAAAAGGTTACTGAACCTCTTCTGTCAGTAATTTCAAGCACTCACTCCTGGAGCACTTCCAATCTCTCCTTTCACATTTCTGCCCTGAGCCACCAAGAGCACATCGCTCACATTGGCGTCATTTGCCACTTACATTCCTGCAGTGAAAATCGAACCACACACACACACACACACACACACACACACCACACACCACCACACACACACCATAAGAAATAATAGATTTGAATTTTGACTTCAAGAATGAGCAAACCTTGGGGCAAAAAATAAAAATAATAATAATAAAATAAAGAAAAACCATTGAAGTGTAATTATTAGTGATGAAATATTAATTATCCCTAGGTTCAAAGAGTTATTTGTAATTACAACAATGATGTAAACTTGACTGTATTCTTCAAATCAGTTATAAATATGAAGTATGCAAACACAAACCGTAATATTATCCAACAACATTCTTTGTACATACCACATTAACATGTACACTGACTTCCCTCACTCACATACTCTACACACACACACACACACACACAAACACACTTCCACACACACACACTTCCACACACTCCAATCTAAGAGCAACACAAAATCTGTGCTTGGGGGGTGAGGGCTTTAGAGCGGGAAGAGGGAACAGTCACGAATGACCAGGCACATATTTTGACAGTGGAAGGCTTCTTACAGCAACCTTCTGCACCAGGGGTTTAATTTTTGATGGTATGAAACATGGCACAGGAAAGCAATTTGAAGAGCAATCAAGGTACACAAAAGGGATATGGAAGCGAAACAGATTAAGGAGGGAACAGAGACACTGCCCTGCCCTGAATTGGCTATGGATTAGCTACAGAGATGTGCATGCCACTGAGAAACACAGAGAAGCTCCAGAATGTCACCTCTATTACATGTAGGACATTGGAATCTGCCAAGCGACCATCCAGTATTGCTGTCTTGGGGCAAATGAGGAACATGGTAATGACGCATATGGAAAGATTTTTCTGCCTTTCTAAGGGAAAATACTGCAGATTAAAATGCTGTTAAGTCTTTCTATTCCAATAAAGCAAACATAATGATTATAGAGCTCCATGATGAGAAGGATTTCATGAAGAAGAATTCATCATAAAAGTGAATACCTTCCAGTGACAACAATGCGCACTGTGGCCATAGCACTTGGTAACATGGTAATCAGCTACTACCCATGGAAAAACAGGCGCTTGACAGGCTGGTGGGACAGTGGCAACAGTCCACTGTCTCAGTGTTAAGGCTAAGGCCTAGGCTGTGGGCTCTAATGAACACCAGTCTGTAGAGATGTTTTCACATTCTGCGAGGAAATAAGAGCATGACTGCTGAGATGCCACATCAACACTTTTGGTGGGTAGAGCTACGCGCCAAACAGGGTTAACACACTCCTCTCTCAGAGCTTCACTCTTAATTGGACTTGAAGGCACTGTCAGGTCTAATCGTGATGCGGGGGTGCAAAGCAGAATCTGCTGGAGAGAAACCTGCCAAATCTGGTTTTGGCCACGTTGGGGAGGGGGGGATAACATATGGGGCAGGAGTCAAATACCAGTCCCAAAACTAGATGTTATTTTTGTATCGTGTCTTCAGGAAAGGCATAATTTAAGTCATGCTTTGATTGTCAACAGTACAGTAACTGGTATTCTTAAGATTTTGTTTGTTATTAAAAATACTTGTTTGTTAATATGCAAAAGGTTTAAACATTTCAGTGGGAAATAATTGTAAAGGAGGACCCTGCTAATTTTAGCCATCAATTTAGATAATTTCTCTTTTAACTGCTGCTGCTACTGTTTGTATTCATATTAATATAACATATTGTATAATGTTCTTTTTTGGTTACTGTTGGTGTTTCATTGTGGCTGGTTGTAGATTCTTTACTTTTCTTTCTCTTTTATATAGTGGTTTTTATATATTATTTTTTCTACGTTCTTACTGTTTGTATACTGTTTCTTTTTTCTTCTATCCACTTTGCTGCTGCAACATTGGAATTTCCCCATTGTGGGACAAACAAAGGAATATCTTATCTTATCTTATCTTAAAAAGATCCATCCTCTAATAGGCTTTGACTATAGTAACAGTGCAGTAAAGGCTGAGTATGATGAGTACACATGTGTGTAACGTGCAAATGAATGAATGAATGAATGAGTCACATAAAAATTAAATAGCAATCACTGTAGGAATAACACATTGTATGACTTCCGTCATGCTGGATTCAGTGTGTTTTTTCAGGTCTTTCATCTCTTTTCAATGCAACACACAATCAGTCCAACTGTCCTATACTACTTCATTCAGCCCATCAAATATGGATATATAAACCAAACATGCAAATGCAGCACTTAAAAACAATAGTAACATTTTTAAATAGATAGACATATCACAAAACACAAATATAAAGCTACAGTCAGTCCTCTTAGCACAAGACTAGAAACAGGGGGAAACAGCTTGTCTGGCTCACCTTGCAGCACCTCTAAAGCTCACTAATTACTAAGGCTGCAACTAAGGATTATTTTCATTATTGATTATATAATTGATTATACTATAAAATATCATTGTCCATCGGAGTTTCTCAATTTAATATTTTGATATATATGACAGAGAAAGGCAAGAAATACCCATATCTGAGTGGTTGAGAACTTTAACGATCAATTGATAATGAAAATAGGCAATTATTTTTCTGTCGATCAACTAACTGATCAGTCGACTAATTGTCGCAGCGTTACTCATTAGCACATTATATAATGTTTGTTTAGTCTGTACTAGGTCTAAAAACAAAAATTTGCCATTTTACAGGGGTTCATGTGCCAGAATATTTCTTGCCTGAATAGCAACTTCCGGGAGTGTCCACTGGTTGCCTGGCAACTGAGCCAAGAAATAATCCAGCACATAACGCAGTCTAAAATAAAAATGTTTCATTTTTTGTATGAATTAAACAAAAGAGAAATAACATGTTAATATAGAAATTTAGAGGTACTGCACCTGTAGGTGGATTTAGTTGCCTAGCCAGGCTAGCTGTTTCCTCTTGTTTCCACTCTTTGTGCTAAGCTAAGCTAAACAGCTGCTGGCCGTAGCCCTTAATTTACCTTACAGACATGACAGTGGTATTGATTCTCTCATCTAACTTTCAGCCAGAGAGTGAATACACACATTTTCTGAAATGTCTACCTATTCCTTTAAAATGAAAAGAACAGTTGTTGTGGTGTGTGGCGTTGGTTTTGGTACAATAAGTGATCTCACCTTGCCCATGACTCTGTTCTCCTTCCTCCTCCTCTCCCTCGTCATAGTCCACCTCCTCTACTGCTTCTTCCTCTTCCTCTGCTTCCTCCACCCTCTCCTCATCACCCTCTTCCTCCTCTTCTTGCTCTACCTCTACCTCCTCTTCTTCCTCCTCTTCCTCACCCTCTCCATCCCCTCTCTCCACCTCCCCTTCTTCATGCTCCATTTGCTCTACGTTGTAGTCCATGTAGCCTTCCATCTCCTCTTCTTCTTCCTCCACTTCTCCCTCTTCCTCCTCCTCCTCTACCGCGCCTTCCTCCTCCTCTTCCTCCCTGTCGTCCATCTCCTCGGTTCCGTCTGTCTCGTAGCACTCCTCCATGGTAGAGTTGTCCATGTCATCTAGGTAGGAGCTCCTCTTGGGGGAGGTTTCCAGGGTTTGTCTGTCTAGACTCTTTCTCTTCTTGGCCAGAGGGCAGCCGTACACACTGCAGAGGAGAGATAAGAGGGCAGCCATTAGCTGTTAACCTCACCTGGCCATAAATGCCAATGCTCATTTGTAACTGGGCCTCTGTGTGAAGGTGCCATGGTTTACAAACTACATTTGGAAAGAATGCAATGCACGGAGCAGCAATGGAACTTGGGCTCTTACTGCAAGTGCCCCTTAAGTTCTTCTTCTGGGAAAAATTTGAAACTTTGCTTAACCAACATAAGTAGACATGTACTTATTAACTATTGAGCAATTATAATAAAATGCTCCATTTCTTCCAGAAAACAGTTACAAAGGGATAAAAGCTCTATCTTTGAAGCAAACAACGCAGAAGATTCAGTTTATTTTCATATTCATTTATATTCAGGTAACATCAATTTGTTCTTCAGGCAAAAGAAAATCACTGTGCATGCTCTGCAAACACTTTGTTCCAGACTGATATGCCCTTGTTCTGACGTGAACCAAGTGCAGCACAACACAACAGCTCGTCTGGAATTGACTGTAAAAGACAACCTGTAGCCTGATTAATTGAATCTTGCCAAGGCACCTCAGATTTTAATGTATTCTCTGGCTCCCCTCGGCAGCAGGGGGACAGATCCTAATCTGATAATCTGTGTATTCGCTCAGGCTATTGATCACAGGGGTTTAATCCATTTCACTCATCAAACCTCGGAGAGCCCCGAGCTG